ATCACACACACTCACAGGTGCACACCAAAAGTGGACCCACTCGCAGGTATTCGCTCGGGGAGCTTAGCTTCTCGGAGTAGCCCAATTTCGTGCGTGTGTGAGCGGGAACATTCCGTTAATCCTCACTAAATACAGCATGAAGCCGCCCCGTTCGGTAATAAAGGAGCAGGCGAGGGGAGACGTGGCACCGAGGTCAGACGCTCTGCGGCGTATCCGAGTAATTAATATCCACAGGACTTAGCGGGGGCAGAGCAGAAAAGACAACACAAACAACGCAGAGGGGTTTTCACTGAAGGCCTCGGCTGCACTCAGATGTGCCAAAAACTGTAGCCGGAACAAATCAAACCCCCAAATTAGATTTGTTTTTTTGGGCATATTTTTCAGTCTTGGGGACGGGGCGTGAAAAGGCAGCGTGTCTATAACCCCATAATAGGATCTCTTGATTGATATCTTTCTCCGAGATGGGCGATTATTTCTGGCCGGTACTTTGTTTGTACTTAGCTTGACACTATTAATCTGATGGTCGAAAAAAACACTTAAACCACAATAAACCAGCGGATGACGTCACAGTGACTTAGTTACAGTGACTAACCCTGTTACTGATCTAAGATTAGACAAAGAGCGGAGATGTTGCAGACGTTTCACCCGGTGGGATTGTACTTTAACCACGGTTACACTAATTGACGTGAATGAGAAAATAGACATTTAAAACAGCGTGGCAGACGTGAGAGGATCTAGTAGCTGCTTTCCCCCGATAGCCCGTGATCAAACCACGCTAGAAAGGAGCTTAGTGGACACACGGGTCACTGTAACACACACATACACAATGTGAAGGCCATTAGGTCATCCAGCCACCATGTTGGGGTTCTCTCCACCACACACACACACACACACAGACAGATAGACACCCGAATGTAACTCAACACTGCTGCTTTCTCACTGGACGAGAGCTTTAATGTGCACCAGACAGAGAGATTTTGGCTGCGGAAATTAATGTTTACTTCTGGGCCGCCTCTTCGTTTTTCACTCCGTTGTTGAGAAAGAACATGCGAGATGGCTGGAACCGAAAAAAAAAAGTTGTGGCAAACAAACCCTGCCCGCTGTTTCATGTGGTTCTTTTCAGCGGACACAAACTCGTATCGTGTTTTTCATGCACAAATAAGAGGACGCGCATCACGTCTCATTGGAAGCAAAAGTGGATTACATTTGTCTTGATGGCACAAATGCCCAGAACAAACTAAGCCTGCCATGTCTGAGAAATTAAGATGTTTTTATGAAAAGCAAAAATCCTTCCGGCCTGTTTGCTGGTCGTGCGTGTTAAAAGCCAGGCCCGTTAAACTTAATAAGAGCCGTAATCCAACTACAGCCCCATGCAGACCCACAGCCATGAATCCAGAGCTTCTCCCGGGAGAGGAACGGTACTAGAACATGCTGCACATGGCACACGGGCCATCTATACCATGATGGTAAGCTGCACGCTGAAAAGGTGACTTTTAAGGACCACGTCGAACCGAGCCGCTTCAGAGTCGGGAGCGCTGCGAGCCAAGAACGTCCACCTGCAGTTCGTCACGCTTTCAGTGTTTTGACAAAAGCTCTCGCAGCGGCGTGATGACATCCGCCCGCTTTACGCACCGTAATCCAGCCGCTCTGCACACTTTCGAGTTAAAAAGAAAGCTGTTTTTTCTCGTTAAGTGAGACTTTGCAAATCCTTGGCTTGAAGCCTCCAAGGCGATGTGTGGATTTTTCTTTCTTTTTTTTTTGTTCTTTTTAAGTTTGTATTTTTTGGTGAGAGCATTCCAAAGATGTCAAAACCGTCAAGGTCTCGTTCCTCCAACGCAGCCTCCTCACTTTGAGGGAACTCAGGGAGGAAATCAGGGAGGAAAGGCAAAACGGATAGCTGCTGGGTTCACAAGTTCAGGCCTTTGGGTTTGCGAGAGCAAGCGAGGCTGTTCTGAGAAAGGAGGACGATGCCTATAAAAATGTCAAATGTACATTTGGTTTTGGCGGATGGGTTTCTTTTTGTGTGTTCCATTGCTTCTGATGTTCTGTGTTTCAGCTTAGCTCGTCATGGAGTCGAGATTCGCGTTGAGGAAAAGGGAGAGTAATGAACTAGGAATAATCCTCGTCTGGTGAGCAAAAACACAAAACGACCCGTGTCGACGTCGCGCCTTATATGGCTCAACGCTCGAGCTGCGGCAAACATGTGCAGCAGTTCATACTGAAATGTTTGACGAAGCACAGAGGCGGCATTAGAATACGTGAAGCGCGAACCCCACCTGCTTGGAAGAAACCATTGTAAAAGGTTGGAAAACAGATGTAGTTGGTACTCGATATTACACCCGGCATGTGGGAGATTCTATCACAGATAGTTCTCGCTACCGAGGAGCCAACAAACCGTCAACAGTCAATTTGTGACCGTAGTGGTTGTTGCGTTTGGACAACATTTGCAGAATACAGGTAACGTTACCTTTTAAAGAAAAGCTCCGCCGTTTTTACTAGTTCAGCAGTTTTGAGGTGAGCGTCGGCCGAACCGAGGTCATTCGGGTTCCGTCCTCCGGGTACCATGAATGTGAGTGCAAAGAATTGCCCGACGACGAAGCTCCGAACCTCGACGACCTGCCGCCACGACATCGTCGTCATCTAGCAGCGGGATCTGTTTGAACGGCGGAGATGTTCTTTCGAGATTGTTTCCCTCACTTGACCCCCCTACCGCCCCTCTTCTGAAGCATTAGGGAAAGTGGTTCTAAAAATAGAACGTACAATGTCAACCTTCTGGCGCCCCATCAACAAGCAGGTTTGAATTGGCCGACCCGCCGTTTCCCCTCCGACAGAAAGGCCTGCTGGCTATTAGAAAGGTTATTTGACGAGACGAGTTGTTTCCGATCAGTCTACAAGAAGAGCCACTTCCAGTCACCGCCCCCCCCCCCCCCCCCCTTGCTGGAAATAACACAGAGGGGGGTTTCGAAGGTTTGCGGCATTTCTCTTTCAACATCAACAAACTGAGGGTGGGAAAAAAAAAAAAAAACTCTTCAGCCATCCCGGCCAATATAACTGTCAGACGTTTGCTTTTGGTGTAAACCGTTAGAGCTCCACTCTGTCCCCGCGGCTCCCTTCTTGTTCTCCCTGTGCCTCGCTGCCCGGGTCTCCCTCCTTAAAAAGTCATGTAGCACGAGGTGTATATGCACAGGTTGCCCTACATACCGGCCACCGCCAGAGCAAAGTTTCACATAGATTGACATAGAGAGGCCTTGCACCTGCATGAAAACCAAGCCGATCCGTGTTGATTCAATACAGGCAGCTTATTTTTCAATGGAATCCAAGCCTCGAAACATTTTCCAAAAGCTGCTCTCATTTTGAAATGAAAACCAAATGATGTTAATAACAAATGCATCATGCCGGAGGACCCATGATTAACAGCTTCAGTATCACATTTCCAGAACGTTTCGCTAAATGACATGTCTTATAAGTTGTATACATATCGACCTGCAGGCAGAAACTCGCCACCAATTGATCATTTCCCAAATGCCAGTTCTCTAAAAGCGCACAATTAAAAGGTATCCCGACTGGAATGTTGAATGTCACCTGCAGTTTCATCATGGAGGGACACACTCCCACAGCGGTCGGCCATGTTTGAACTGGTCTTTCTGCAAAAAAACTTTACAACACAGCCGTGGGGAAGGGGTGAGGCAATGATGACAACCCCTGTATTTATTATGCAAAAAGGATTTTTCTTTTTTGCATTTGGCAAAATAAGGTGCATTGCAGCTAAATAAAATCCTGCAATACCTTTGATAATTTTCCAGAATAACAGTGTGTGTGTGTGTGTGTGTGTGTGTGTGTGTGTGTGTGTGTGTGTGTGTGTGTGTGTGAGACATCCCTGCAGGCCAGCGGCACGCCTCAGGTCTGCATTTTTACAAACACTCGGAGGTGCAATAACTTCACGGTCCAGATTGTACTAACGACTCCAAACCAATGGCCTCATGTTATCCTTTGGGAGGAGGTGGGGGGGGGGGGGGCGCGGCATGGAAAACAGAGCTGCAGCGGTGGGAAACTGCTGAGTGAGAACTTCTCCACATCTCCGAGAGGAAGAGAGGGAGGAGGAGAGAGGGTAGAGAGTGAAGCTGCAGCCGCTACTTCTAATAGGAAACGATGGGGAGGGGGGGGGGGGGTGTTCTTCGGGGGCCACGTGGGTTTCGACCCGGAGGCCAGTCCAAGTCGTGAGAACCGAGTCCTGTGCCGCGCGCGTCCTCACGTTCCTCACAGCTGCACGTCCACTTTGCGTGGGGAAATGGTCATACCTTCTCGCCAGTGCACGTGGACTATGCAGCCAGTAACCCCCCCCCAGTGCCCCCCTCCCGCCCTGCTGAAAGTAAGTCTTCCAAGTATGTTTTGCTAAAGATTTCATACGCTGCCCTTCCCTCATTCAAACTCAATTTGAAGTCAAGACAAAAGGCCAACCGGCCCACTCTTGACAACAGGCAGAAGGGAGAGAAAAAAAGATTTGGTGGGATTAATTTAATCCTCCACTTTCCATAAGAGTTCCTTCAGCTTTTCCCAGGAGTGGGCTACTTGGCTAGAAGGTGACTGAAAACACATGGGAACCAATCCAGGTCAGAGAAGTACAGCTCCCTCCCCCACAGTTAACTGCCCATGTGCCCTTGGGCAAAACTGACACCACTTGCCCCCCAAGTTGTAGTGGTTTGATGCTGGACATCTTCCAGGTGCAGATGTGGTTCCAAAAGCAGTAACTCTGCAAAGCCCATAAATCGTCCGGCTCCAATGTATGCTGCTATAGGGATGGAGTTGGACCAGAATTTGGCTTTGGCATGTTTTGTCCTTTTTTTACTGACACCGCGTTTCACTATGGATCCATATCATGAGGAACCTACCCAAAAGCGGTTGTTCGCCCCGTTGGTTGGCTGATGTCTATATATTTAGAAGAAGAAAACATTGCATGCACTGCGCTCCAAGCGAAAGAAGGGAAAAGGGGGGGGGGTTACCTCTGATTTCCACAAGACGTACGCGTGAGAGCTGGACGGCTGCGCTTTCCTCTGAAGCCACCTCCGCGGAGAGAACAGGGTGCCGGTGCTGCCAGACGGCGTCGCCGCTCCGGGTCCCCGCGCCAGAAACGGTAAATCCCCGGCGGTACTCCTCTTGGCACGCTTCACGATGTCGTAGTCAAAGTGGAAGTTGGAGGAGGGCGAAACGTCCAGAGGGATGGAAGGAGAGGAGAGGGACGGGGTTATGGGCTCCTTGAGGGTCGGGATTTTGGTGCGTAAAGTTGGTTTCGCGTCCAGCGCACCTGCGTCCGGAGCCGCCGCGGAAAACTGCGCGCCATCGGTCCCGGCGTCACAGAACCGTATGATAGCGGGGTCCAGGCTGCGCGTTTGGCGCAACCTCCGCTTGGTTATGGCTTTGGAGGCAGGAGAGGAGCAGGAGAAGACGCTGTTGAGAAGTCCTTGAGCGGAAGACATGTCTCCTCGCCTCACATCAGCGCTGCTCGATATGCGTCCTTTTTCTTTGTTTTTTTTGTTTTTTTAAAGAAAGCTCCCAGTACAAGTGAGGGACACGAGTTCACTGTTGTCCCATCCAAGAGGAAGGTCCGAGCGCGAGCAGGCGCAGAGCTGGAATGTGGCGCATCTGGCTGCGGACGCTGGTTGAAGTTGGGAAAGCGCGAGTCTTCTCGCGTTGGTCGTTCCCGAACCAGAGCGGAGTGAGAACGCAGTTTAAGTGTGAGTCTGCGTGTGTGTCAGTGTTCAGAAAACTTGAGGTCAGCTCTTGCATACCACGTGTTTTTGCTTATTAACCAATTCCGTGTCAGCCTGCTATATTAACCGATATGATTAAACTCCACCTCTCTCTGGGCATGTTGACGTGTGGGAGTCAACTGCAGGTCCCCCCGCGGCTCGCTTTTTTCCCTCTGTTGATAAAATGTAAACGCCTTCCAGATGATCCCCTTCGGTGGGCTAATCTCATCCACCGGATTCCATTCAGAAAAGCTTCAGTCCAAAACTCGCATGTGTTTCCTTTGCTGCCTCTTGAAACAAAGAAGCGTGGAAAGTAGGTTACGGTCCCTTGATTAATACGCGCATTCTGAATTGGCCCTTGTGGACAGACAAGATAACGGGGCGGGCGGGAGGACAGATGGGACGTGATTCAGCCAATGATAAAAAAAAAAAAATGTGCTGATTAATCCTCGTCTCCCATTCATCCACCTCGCCGCCTGGGAACAATAAGTGAGCCACATGGATCAATGGCCATGGTCCTTTCTTTATACACCTGTGCGAGAGGCTGGATTCCAGACGCGTGTTTACACAGATGCTCGCGGAGGAGCTCGGCGATTCAAGTGTGTTGAGGCGGCCTCGGGAGTGTGTGTTTTCTTAAAGGAGAGTGCGAGAGAGAGAGAGAGCAGGAGCATGTGTGGCCCCTGTCTGTGAAAGTATTGGGGGTGATGATAAAAGAGCTTATGAAGCGGGGCCGCATGACGCGCTCACACACACAACGCGGCGTGACACCGATAACAGCTGAGATAGATTGGACGCTTCTAAAAACAGTTCGGCGGTTCGGGGGGTTTATGAGTGCTCTAATGAGGAGGTCATGTTGCACAGATTTAGAGACCCCCGCAGCATCCTTTTACTTTTCACTGTGCCAAAGCAAAAATGAGCATTGATTCTCTCTGTATATTTAAGAGCCAGCAGATTGAATTGAGACATGCTGCGTTTTCTTATTTTAACTGAATACCAGAACGTTTCCTCCCACTAAGGTATGTGTTTAACACGTATAGGGTGGTTTAATACATACATGTAATATGATAGTCAGCGGAGTTGTAATTGAGAGCATTTGAAATGGTCCAATGAATTAGCCGCCGGTTGTTAATCTTTTTTAAATTACGTCCTAGACCGTGAGCGTGCAAAGATAAAGGTAACGTGTGTAGTTAAAAGTGTTGGTGAATCACCGAAGCGATATTTCCACCTATTGGTCAGGCAACACATGAAGACCTGTTTAGGTCTGGGATCTTTGAGAATTTGCTTAAAAATGTAATATTCATGTTGTAACTCACACCGTCCAAACAGACAAATGCTTCCCCGTCAAGACACGTGTTGCTTTGTTGTGTACGTGTGATATATGCAGTAGTTTTCAAATAATTTATGTATTTAATAAAATTTACCAAATGGAACAAAAGCAGTTTGGGGATGAACAACAACCCCCTGTCCATTTATACTTTGGTGTGTCCGTATACTGACACCTGCTGGCCAGTTTCTTAACTTGCACTACTAGTACGGTGTCCGTGTGAGGGTCAGATCAATTTATTGAATTGCGTTTTCTGTGCTACCTTCAGTGCTCGGTGTAATGTCGGAGATAGTTTGAATACCAAAACCATCCACCAATGTAGCATACGCGGTGGATGAAGTTGATCGCATTAATGTATTTATTTGTCGCAGTCTAACCTAATGTACTCACATGTGAATAACTTGACGAACTGTTGGTGGTTTTAAATGAACAGTATAATGTTTAAATTGTGATAATTCAAATGCTGAAATATTCGTAATGTGCAGCCCCAGTGCAGTTGTAGTAAATGTGTATTGCAACAAAAAAAGAAACTATTCTATCAAATAATTCAAACTAGATTCCACGACTCATGTCTCTTCCCCAGGCTTGATGGGGAAAGTTACTACGAGTCCCTGAAGGCAGCAGGTAGATGCTGCTATTACTCCCGTAATAGCGCCATCGCTCCAAAGTGCAGGGTACGAGACACCTCACGGAACAGCGTGCAGAGAGTAAAGGGTTAAGGAGTTTATAGGGTCCAGATTGATGCCCCCGTTCCCACACGTCGCCATGAACAAATGAATTCGCGGGGAATTAAATACTCATTTCGAAAAGGAGAAAGAGTGCTATGCTTTGAACCCGACCCCACCAAGGCTAAAGTGTTGTATGACGCCAAGGTAGTATTATTTATTCGTGATTTAGCTCCTCGGTATTACGACTTTTGCCAAACAAATACTTTATATTGGAGAAGCAGGCACAGTGAATGTAAAGTGTGAGATGTATAAATCCACCGCGACGAACTCTTAGGCCTGAGAAGAATAGCGCTAACTAATGTTCTCGCACAATGCCCGATGATATTATGGACACCCTTTCTCGCGTGGTTTCCGGGTGCGTTCGATTACTTATGTTTCTTCTTGAAGCGCAAGAGTTAACTTCCTTGCAAACCCAACTGTGATGTTTTTGAAGTGGCGTGATAAAGCTTTGCAGCCCGAAAGCGGTTACCGTAACATACACAACACGCTATTTGAACTAGAATACATTTTACACAAGTAGGTTTAGGTACAGCTAGCTGCCTGTCTGTCATTCAAAGTAGTTTATCCAAACACATAATAAACATGCGCACCCACACATCTGCTCTGCTAACTTGGCCAAAACTGACCACCGTAACACTTTTACTGTTGCATTTATTCTCTAGCTATTTTCGTTCTTTATTTGGTAGCAATAAAACGTTGTGAATATGTTTAATGCAGGAAAGTATGATGCGGCCGGGTTGCCGTTTTATTTCCGCTAACGTCACGTGCGCAATGTTGTTTTTACTAGCTAGCCAGTTAGCAAGCTAGCGGTAGTCGAGGTTTGTTTACGTCAACGCATTCTAGCCCGGCTTTTGCTAACCGAGGCAAGCTATTGGTTAGCATTTAGCAAGTAAGACCCTTTTTTTCCAAATACCGTTAGCAATAGAACTGTTTAATGTACATTTTAGACGTAGGGTGCATTTAGCATCGACACGTTAACGGGAAAGCTTACATGACGCATAACAAGCAATAAGACCAGCGATGCGATGCTCTGTTAATGATTAACGTTAGCTACGTGCATTCTTTAAGCGTCGTTCTTGTGCTAATGTAGAGCCGTTGTTTAGATGCTAATAAGGGACAGTGTTGTGTATATGTAAGGCCAGATTCTTAGGATATTCCGGGCACTATCTAGTCCCTTCCACTCTACAGCAAAATTGCAAATTCGTCACATCATGGCTGGCGAGGTTATAAAGCGTGGAGCTACTCAAAGAGATTGCTAAGGAAAGTCAGTGAGTAAATAGATACACTCCACCTCAGCAGACTCGACCTGACGTCACCTTGCGTATTCAAAGGCACCGACCTTCAAACCATAGAAGCCTCGAGCAAGGAAAACCGTTCCGAATGTTCTCTGTTCAAATCACAGGTCCTTGATGTGTTTATCGGAAAAGACGAACATGGAAGGAGAATCCCAAAGTTCCTGATTCACTTCAACGGTTGGAACAGAAGGTGAGTCCTTATCACCTACCTACCTAAATATATTGTACTCATTGTAGTGTTTATCATTGCAAAATATCATGTTCATCAACTTGTGTAATGATATTAACATGAAACACTGCCTTCAATCCATGCATCTGTGTGATTTTTTTTATATTTTATTTTCTAAATGTGTGTTTGGGTAGCTGGGATCGTTGGGCTGCAGAAGATCATGTCCTAAGGGACTGTGAGGAAAACCGTAGATTGCAGCATAAACTGGCACGCAAAGCTCTAGGTCGCATGTAAGTTCATATTCTGTTCATTCATTCAGCCATGCAGGTAGACACCGTCAAAATGCTAAACCATTCAGTACATTTTCTTGCATGTCAATCACTTGGGTGTCTCCATCAGGCATGGAATGGCCATTGTTACTTTCTTATCAGGCTTGAAAAGTTTTACAGTTGATTTCCAACCTCTCTCTCTCTGAACAAGACATATGTAACTTGAGCCACAAGTCCAATGGACTGCATGTCAATCTCTGTTCTGTGTGCCAAGTGCTTGGGATTTTACCTTTCTGTTAGCTTGGTCCATCTGTAGACAAGACTGATTCAGGTGATGTGCGATTTTGTTTTCTTTCCTGGCGATAGGAAGAAAAAGGGATGGGCCAAGAGGCGGCGCCGTCAGTCTGGTACTAAATCTTCTCTGAAGACTCTCCCCAAGGAGGATGACAGTGATGACGCATGTGAGGAATCCTCCTCTGCCTTTGCTACCTTGCGCCCAGTCTCCCACAGAAGTCGGATTAATCTCTTTATGTCTCTAGGTCTGATTTCGTCTTCAGGGAGCAGTGGCGGGGACGACTCTGAACCGGAATCTTCAAATAGCGGGGAAAGCACTTTCTCTGAGGATATCAACAAAATGGTGAAGGGATCAGCTCAGTTTACATCAAAGTTAATGGCATATATAGACCTGCATTTACTTTGAAGGACTTTTAGCTGATGCTGCTATCTAGACCAACTTGTATCGCTGTAATTGCCACCAGAAAAGTACCTTTATTTTCCTTTGTTCCCCTGTAACACCGGGAGTACACCTGTGGTCTTGAAGGTCAAACATTGTTCTCGATTAGTATTCTTATCAGTTTGCCAACACTTGATGGGCCATGCATTCATTTTCAGACCCTGACTTCTTACTCAAATCAAATCCTCCTAGTTTCTATAAACCGTTTACCTGAAGGTTCATATCTTGTCTCTTTCAGAGGGTTGAGCCTGACATTAATGTTAAAAGGGAATGTGAGGAGAAGATTGTCCACGTTGACATTAACATTCCCGATGTCCTTAAGAAGAAACTGGAGGATGACTGCTTTTACATCAACAAGAGGAAGAAGGTACATGCAGTAGATGCTAGACAGTGTTGCACATGTTGAGACACCCATACCGGTACTTCTGGTAGGCGTTGTAAAATATCGAAGCTGGCTTTAATCGAGCTGAATGGGGCTCGCGAATAATTGTCCATGTTTCTCCCTCCCAGCTCGTCATGGTTCCCTGTCAGTCGAATGTCGTGCACATCCTCGAGTCCTACGTCAAGCACTTTGCCATCAACAAAGCGTTCATGGCCAACGAGAGGTACCGCCGTCAGCAGAGCACCACGCAGAGCAGCAGCCCACAGCCGGTCCCCCCGGAGAAGAGGTCAGTCCGCGCACGCTTTGAACAGGGATATGCTTTGTCCCCAAGCTCACATTCTGTTATGGCAACAATGAAATATTGTTTCCGTTTCCCCCCATCCCCAATTTACATTCATTATGGTCCCCCATGTTGATCTTCACGCCTGACCCAGCCGCGATGGCGTGATCACAAACTAATCCTTGAATTTCCTTTTCTTCTAAGTGAGGAGTTGTGTAAGGAGATGGTGGACGGGCTGAGGATCACGTTTGACTTCACCTTACCCATGATCCTCCTCTACCCCTGTGAACAAGCCCAGTTCAAAAAGGTCAGCTCTTCCAGGCTTTTCCTGGCCGCCAACGAGAGCTCCCCCTGCTCCAGCAGGTGAGTTGTGCTCAGATGATTCGGGCCGCTGCCGCTTGGCTTCAGAGACCACTGCTCGGCTGGGACGCCATTGAGCTCCACAATTTATGCCGTGAGCCTTTCTCTCTCCCGTTGTGTCCGAAGCGCCCAGCGAGAGCGCAGCCCGAGCCCGTTGGGACACAACCCGCCCACGCCCCAGTCCACAGACAGCCAACCAGCACTCAGCGACATCTCTGGGACCACGCCCACCGCCACAGCCCCGACCCCGAAGCGCCGGCGTCACCCCGACATGGACTGCATCTCATTTCAGTCCCAGTCCCTCCGGCGCTCCACCAGGAACACATCTGGAGGGGACCGGCCAGCGGAAGGCAGCAGTGGAGGTAATCGTCCTTCTTACCAACATTCAAAGAGATTACAACCCACTCCAGGACCTTGAGATGCTTCTTACGGAGCCACTCTTTAGTTGCCCTGGCCGTGGGAAAACCTGCAAAGCCTTGTTCTCCCCGCTGTATCTGTGATACGTATTTTTATGTTTTGTAAAGCATATTGTGACAATAATTTCTGTTTACCGTGTGTGTGATGGTCCAGGTGGAGGCAGTGCTACAGCGTCGCCGCAGCTCAAGCGCCGTTTGGTCGACACCTCCTCTCAGCCAAAGTTTTTCCTCAACCTCGAGAGAAGTAAGATGACATGATTGTCAATATAATGCATTACATTTAACATTCAATATAATACGGCTAGTGACGACTTTTTCTCTTTGTCATAACTTCTTTCTCCCAGTAGGTGGCGGCGTCCTTTCTGTTTCTTTTTACATGTACCCCCTTTCTAGTACCCTAAGACCTACACTTTCCTCACAAGATCTTTGTGCTTTCACAATCTTTTTTTTGTGCTCACATTCATTTTTGCTGTTTATTTTTGTTAATTGTTGCTGTTTATTTTTGTTATTTTATACCAGCAGCGATGAGCGACACAACTCGAAGCGTGTCTGTAAACTCGTAGTTGTTCTTCTCTGTTCCTCTTTAACCAGAAACCCCAGTGCACAGTGGCTCATCTTCCCCGTTGCCCTTGACGCCCAGCAAAGAGCGAAGCGGTCCTTTCTATGGCCTCGAGAGCCGGAGAAACAATGAACTTAATGAGGTGATGAAAGTGTGTGTGTGTGTGTGTGTGTGTGTGTGAGAGCGAGAGCGAGAGTATAAACTACTATCTGGATGTGAAACAATTTCATGCTCAAGGTGCTTTAGGATAGCTACTCAAATGGCCTCCTTGATTGCAAGGAGAGACGTTAAGCAACTGTTTGATCATTTTTTCATTCGGGCCCATGGCTTTGTCGTTTCAATTTAAATTAGTGAAAACCTTGCAGTTTCTGCTAAAAGCGTTTTCCTTTTAATCCGTCAACCAGGTCCTAAGTTGGAAGCTGACTCCCGATAACTACCCTCTGCACGACCAGCCTCCTCCACCCTCCTACCTGTACGGATCACAGCACCTCCTGCGGCTTTTTGGTTGGTGTCTCGTATCATGTGGCTCACACTGGTACTCCTTCCTTTATGTGATTCCAGCGGCCTGACTGTGGTGACGCTGGTGATGCATGTCCCTTTCCACGTGATGTTTTTGGATGCATTCTCGTCCTTTTTTTGTGCAATTTATTCATATTCTATCTTTTGCTGCCATTTCTTCCTTCCAGTGAAGCTTCCTGAGATCCTGGGGAAAATGCAGATCCCAGAGAGGAACCTCCGTGCCTTGGTCAAGCATTTGGAACTCTTTCTTAGGTAAGTTTGTAGGTTCAAATCAAACAGTTAAGTGCTTTAGTAAGCTAGAGAGGGACAGATTTAGTTTAAATGCGTTGAAGAGCTTTAGCATGTGTTTCAAGCTTCTTTACACTGCAGATGGGGGAAGTACCGATCTTTGGGTCCGTCAGGCCCAGAGTCTAAGCGTTCCCCCACAGAAACATTCAGGAATAATATTGACATCTCACCTGCTTCTTAAAAAACAAAAAGGAACTGGGGTCTCAAGTCCGGTACAATTTTCATGAAGGAGGAATCGTTAGCAAGATGACGAGATGCATTCAATTAATGGGACATACAATATAAAGCACTTTGACTTAAAATGAGGCTCGGTAATAACCTGCACGGTCCATTAACCACGGTTTGACCTGGCTAAGCACCAACGCTCTATAGCGACCGCCAGCGCCGAGCTGTGAAGTTACTAATTTCTCACGCAATCTGGATCACTCTTGACAAAAACCTAATGTAGTATTTGGGAGCCTGCTTCACAGAGGTGTAGAAAAAACAAGATATTAAAAGATGAAGGACAGCAATAGAAAATTAAAGACAATTTGGGATTATCTGGAAATTATTACAGTACCAAATTCCCAGAAATGTAAGTAAGCAAGTAAGAGTAAGTAACTGAGAACACGATGGGACGGGGGAGGAGGGGTGGAGGGAGAAAGAGCATGTGCTAGAGGGAGGGAGATGAGTGGGCGTTACACAAGCGCGAGACTCTAATCTTTAAATCCTCCCCAGCGATCTTCAGTTCAGCCGGTCCCGAACCTGAGGGATTTAGGTCTTCTCGTTCTCTTAATCAAACGCTGGCAGTTCTGTCTTCCGCCACCGGGCTGTGCTGTGGAGCGGCACCTGAACTCAGGGACAAACCTGAGTCTGAGAGCCAGAATTACCTCCATGCCAGTACTCTACCAAAAAAGAAAAAGTGTATATAAATAAATCAAGTCGAGTCCAGCACTCAGCGCCACACAAGTCACGAGGCGGTCCTCTGAAAATAGCTCGAGCTGCCATTCAGCGTCCCTCTGCGGGATGAGTGGTGTGATGGCGGCGTTCAGTGGCACATGCGATGCGCAGATTTTTTTTTTTCTTCCACAGCAGGGGCCGTAAAGGGCCGTTTGTCAACGCGGTGCCGTGACACTCTACGCCAAATAGAATGCCAATACCTCATTCTTTTCAGCAGCATTAGCGGTTTCCCATGACAACGCACATATTGCAGTGTCATCTGGGGGGGGGGGTTGGAGTAAAAGGTCCTTTTAATCTACTCCGGTGGCACTGGACTGCAAATCCCTGGTGCGTCTCCTCGCGCCGAATGTTTTTCCGCAAGACGGCCCCGACAATAACGTGCATGAGGAGGGAAGTGCTTAAAAGTAAATTACTTCAGCGGTTTCAATCTCCTCTCCAGCTCTGCGATAAACTATTAAGTCGCTAAGACAGGATTCCTAGTGTCCAATACAGAAAATACTGACGTGCTCACTTTATATTTTCACCGTGTGGGAGACTGCAGGACGCTGGACACAAACCCACATTCACGTGTCTTTTGGGAAAAGGCCTTGATGCCTTTTACTCTGAAAACCAGCAGATTGTGCAGACCGGACAAAAAAAAAAAAAGAACTGATTGATGTCGCAGCGACCGAAGTGCAGTGCATTCTGGGATTTGGCCACAGTTGATCTCTCACTCTCCCTTTCTCCGCAAGAATGATTATGATTGAGTGTGTGTGTGTGTGTGTGTGTGTGTGTGTGTGTGTGTGTGTTTGCGCACACGTTATTCAGATTTACAATGTGTTTGCCGAAAGCGGCTTGCCTTGTGTTATTACTGATCAAACAGCAATAAAGATTAGCACAAGCCTGCACTGGCACCACCCCCCCCCACTACTTCACCTCCCAAAAAATAAGAAATAAAAATCTGTTCAATAAAAACGCATAGATGCCTCTGAATGAACGTCATTACATCAACCTTTCAATCTGGGGAATTGGGCCTAGATGAGCTTTTCTTCTTGCTCTCCTTGGACTTTTTCCCCAGAGGAGGGGGGCGGTACAGGCATGTTTCCTTTGCGGTCCCGTCAGGTTGCCCTGCGTTCTTAAATTCTCCTCTGATGAGGATAATTTGTTTGCATTGAGATTAGGAAGGCCGGTGGAGCTAAGATGAGATGGCAAGATTTAGAGGGATTTGGCCGAGTAGCAGATACTAAGAAGATTCCGGATTAGTTTTCCCCGCTACTGATTAGATGGGAACAGGGGCGGGGGGGATCTTTTGCTCTTCCTTCTCTGACTGCTTGTCACTCGTTCTCATGTTTGCTCTTCCGCCGGAGCAATTGGCTCTCTGCTGGTGATTGTATAGGATGGATGGGGAGGGAGGGTGGGGGGCTTTATGTCTAACATGTTTACCCCCAGGCGGAGGGCAAGAGTTTATGGATTTATCTAGAATGAGCCAGGGATATCTAGGAACACCAGAAGTGCGAGTGAACCGGGCCGTGTCGCTTGAAAGTGCTTTGGTTCTTCTCTTTCTCGGCGCCATGTAAGCAAATGTGTCACGGGACCAGCGGCTTGTTTTTGAGAAGGAAACAACAAGGGCTCTCGAAGCCATCTCACCCAATTTCCCTCCCTTGTACTCCCTTTCCCGTCTTCTTTCTCTCTCTCTCTCAGGTTTATGGCTGAGTTCCACGAGGACTTTTTCCCTGAGTCGGCGTATGTGTCTGCATCCGAGGCCCACTACAGCATGAAACAGCCGAGGCCGATTTATTGAAGGAGACGCCGGCCGTTTGTGTTTTCTCTCCCTTTAGCTCACCCCGTTTAGCTCGTCCCCACCGGGCCTGCCTGCGCTTGTGTGCGCCGAGGAATAAAGAAGGTCGTTTTCACCTCTGTCCCGCTTTGCTCGTTTCAAACTGTCTGTCATGTAAAGGCCGCTTTGCTTCAGTGTGCAGATCCAAGGCCCGTGGAGCGTTGGCCCGAGCTCTCGTCTCAAATATAGCAGCTTTGGGTCGCCCGGCTGTGGAAGCAGGCACACCGGTGTCACCTGCTCAGACTTTCCTGCTCTTTATGGCCAGCGTGCTCTGCTCTTGTTTCGTAGCGACTCCCTGTCAGCGCCTTCCGGGATCCCCATCCGGGCTTCTAATGCACCCACTGTGTAAAATAGTTCTTCCTGGGGACCTCTGTGTAGTATTCCACGTGAGATTCCACCATTGTCCTTCGTCTGTCCAGCTTCATTTTGTCCTGTGTCTCGCTGTGTTTTTTCCTTTTTTACTCAATATCCTGTTAGCAAGTGTTGCTTTTCGTACACAGAGCGGTGTCATAACCTCTGATCTTTATTTTAATACACAGCTAAAATTCCGATGCCGTTAGTATTTGCAAATATTAACGATAGCTGCGTGCAAACTTAATTAATCGAGTACCAGAGAGATTGGACAATCACTTGACTGGATCAAAACAACTTGAGCCTATATGTATGTCCAACCTAACGACTGAACTTTCTATTAGTAATATTCATTTAAACAAACATTTGGAATGTGAATACAGATGTAGATACTTGTCCAGTTTGCTATTTATTTTTTCTTTGCACACCACTGGATCACCCCACCACTCATGTTTGGTCAATTGGTTCTCCAATATGTGACATGACTTACTGTTTATAAGTCTTTCCGTCCCGCGTAAAAGACTTTACTGTTGTGTTTATTCACTGCTCTGTTCAATAAAAAGAAAACGCCTGTGCATGCCTGTGTTTCTCCGGCTGGTTTTAGGGAGGCCGAGCGTAACCCCTCGATGTGCTTATATCTGTGAGAAAATCTGCCCCACGTTTCATTTTTGAAAAAGAATCTCCCAAAGCGCTGCTCCATTAAAAGTTGGAGCTACTTTGACCTTCCACGTCCCCCCGCGCTCTAGCTGATTAAACAAAACTAAACCCTGGAAGTGTTTCGGGACCATAACTTGACATTTTCATTCCGCCTTCCTTGTTAACACGGCTCCTCTGTTTGTCGCCGAGTTACTTAAGGGCAAACCTCAATGTATCTAGTGGTTCTCCTTTGAAAGGGACTTTGCACTGCTTTGGAAGCAATAAACAAAAAAGAAATGTCTGTTAAGACCAGACAGGTCTGTCGCTGTGTGATGCGGCTCCAGTTCCCCCGGCGAGCGTTGGTGATGGAGTTGGAGTTTTGACCTAATCGATGTCCTCTGAAGATGGATGGGAGTCGTCTTGTGCTCGTTGCTCTAATGGGAGGTGGACGTTTGATGCTTTTGTTCTGAAACAGGCACCATTGGAAATGATCATATAAAGTGTTTTATATTGACCGGTGTAACTTGTGTAGCCCAGCCATCGAGAGAATTCCTCTCGACGTTCATAAAAAATGTATTTCTCTGGGTTGCATTAGTTTAACTGAGCACGAAGCTTTGAGGTAAAGAGGTAGCAGCGGTCCTAAATCTCAAACATAAAGCACTTGTCATCACCCTGCATATCAACAAAGATCATATTAAATTATGACCAAATTCAATTTGTTTTTGGAGAATGGAATGTAGTCCGTAATATTTGTCAAATATAGGATCTGCGATAAATATATGCTCTTGCATGCGCGAGGTGCAAGCTCAAGATTGTGTGACATCAACCAGCCGCCACTGATTTAGACCCAAAGCAACGGCCTTTTTTTTTTTTTTACCTAACCATGTAGTTTTATTCAATAAACCACATTAAGTATATCAAATTGTGCAAGTACATTACAAGTCTGATATGTTTGCCGAGCTTCTGCTGCTGTTGACCCAAAGGTGAACACCCCGAATCCTGTCATCTGTACCACGATCCCGTATCCGTACTGCCTGCAGAACCACACTCTTCACTCTTTTCCAGCGTACCTCTGGGAGGCCGGCTTACCTGATTTCCCCCGTTTCGGGGGCCCTTATAGGCTTTAGTGGTGAGCCATAATTGTATTTGGACCGGCTCAGACTTCTTGTAATAAACTGCTCTTCGCTGCAACCCAAGACGGCACTCTCCTTCCTGCTGCTATCATGTAGCCACAGAAACCACCGGTACAACCCGCTCCGTGCGTCTCCCATCGATTTCCTGCCACGATCCGCTTACCACATGATTCAATTGTTGTGTGGAGGAGGGGGGGGTGGAGGTGAAATGGGATGCGAGCCATCACCTCGTAAGTGCTGCTGCTGCTGCGCGCCTTTCACCTGATTTCCCTTTTGTGCTCACCTCGGCTCCCACGTGCAGCCTTTGGGGTCCTATCTTCCTAATCACAATCTGCCGTACTCTTTAGTCCTTGAGTGCTCCCCCCCCTTCCACATCCATAACGCCATCTCTTGTGCGTCTCCCTCTGATTGGTCTCTTTGTCTCTCCGTTTCCTCTCGTCACTCTCTTCAGAACTCTTCTGGGGCGGACGTGAAGAGAGTGAGCAGACGTATCTCCTTCCATTCCAGTGTCTCACGTTAAAGTGTTTTGAGCTCCCGTCCTTTTTAAGTCCATCCTTGGCTTTTGCTCCATCAAGACATTGTTTGACGCATTGATCTCCTAAGTCTCCATCACGTTAATCTTTCCTTCTCCAGCAGTTTTGTCCTCTCAGTTTTCCTTCCCCGCGCCATGGACGTAGGACATGGATTGCGTGAGGAGAGGGTGGACACCAGCTCCTCTGACTGTTCTTGGACATCGTGTGACCTGAGCACTGAACTCACGTCAGTCAGCTCTGACCAAGTCTCGACCCCCGGCGGCCCGAACACCTTCGAGGAGCAGGAGCACCACCACCCCCAAAAGAAGTCCTCCTCCGTCAAGGTGTCTTCTGAGGCGCGGAACAGGCCGGTTGCATGGAGGGAGACGTCTTTCCTCGGGAGTGATGAGTAAGCCCGTTGTTTTAATAAGTGACTTGGTTATTGGTGTTACATTCAAACTAAAACTATTCTCCAAGATTTACGGAGGTGATCAATACGTTTTAAACCCGCCAATGCAATCACGCACTTCAGCACTTTCTTTTGAGCTCGGGATGTGGTCGCAGTGACTCGACTCGAGTGTTCACCATCTTTACCCGGACGGATTCAGCTTGTGCTGTTATTTTATCGTTTCCTCTCTGTTGCTGGGTTTCCAACGTTAAAATGGAATTTCTGAATAGAAAGTTCAAATGTCGGGCGGCTCTTCTTTCAGGTGTGGAGAGAAACATATTGTTGCGGTGACTCTCGATAACGCCCATGTTCTATGTCCAGTAAGACGAAATACGTTAAAGGATATACTACACAATATTTACAGTATTTTGTCTGCTTCGTTTTGGAACAAACTCAATAGTCACAGCACTTTTTCCTCCTGCTTCCAGTGTCTATGCTAAGCTAAGCTAATGGCCGCCACTGACCGGCCCCTCTTTCTCTGCCTCCTTCAGGTCTCCTCCTCCTCCTCCTCGCATTTGCGCGCTCTCCTCACAGCCGCTCATCTCTGCCTCAACCGTTAATGTTCTTCTGCCGTATTTAAAGTCTAAAAAGGTTATGGCGGTCAGCGCGCTAAAGCCCTATTGGCCGGCACATTTAGGGGAGCTTAGCGGTGATTGGGCCATCTGGGACAAGACCGGCTGGCCCACAGGGCAATGACTACTGAGGCCATAATATTATACTCATTTCTTAACGTTACTGTTCCACTGACTTACTGCTTTTGCCACTTTTGTAAATAAAAGCAGGGGGGATAAAAAGAGGCGGCCCTGGGAACCACAGTGTGAGCTACACAGTCAGGAAAGAGGAATAAAACTAGATTCATCACTTTATCCCAGCATCCCTCTTCTGGACCCTCTCCCCCAGATTCACACCTTTCGTCATTTCTCTTCAGTATCTTTTTCCACTTTATTTCTACAATTTTCTTCGGGGTCTCCATTCGTCACCCCACCCGCACAGACCCAAACGTCGAGTGATTTTGCAGCAAATTGTGGTCATTGTTGTGGTTGGAGGCTGCCCCTCTGCTGGTGGCAGCCCGGAGCATCGGCACACAGTCGGGCAGAGAGGCGCAGCACGATGGCACGCAGAGCCATGAGGTAGGATGAGGTTTATCTTCTTTTTACTCGGGTCTCGTTTCCAGATCACCGGATGATTCAATTCATTCTTTCGTTTCGTGTCATGTTTTAGGTTCACGTATCCAATCGACTATTGCACCGTCTCTATATTGCAGTGCGCTGTGTGCCTCGTTTCATCCGAGGCAGAGGCTGCAAATGTTTGGGTCGTCTGCGGCGTTCTGGGAGGAGCTCCGTTTCTATCGCGCCAGGCAGGCGCTGATTGTGGCAGACGGACCTTTTCACAGTCGGTTGGAGGCCCTCTGAGCCGAAACCTCCCACTTATCTTCCCCGCGTTAAACTGCATTTTCTACTTCTCCCCAGCTCTGTGGTTTGGACACAACGTTTGAGCGGATTTGAAGTCGTGCTTTGGTGATCAGCCTGAAGGATGGCCGCCGCCTAAACCCACATACGGCGTCTTTCCCAGGCAGGATTTATTCAATAGACACGATTCACATAGTTTATATTTACATTTAGCAGACCTTGTGTTTTCAGCTGGTCCGTCTGCCGCCGCCGGAAACTGGGCGGCCCGCCGGATGACTTCGCACTTCTGACAATTACAGGAAGGTCCCCATGCATGCGCCGTCGCTTGTGCTTCTTTGACATCGATCCGTTTTTCCGCTTTAGATCAAAGTGGGCGGTATCTGGCCCAAACCTGAAATGAGTTTGACACCCCTGACCCGATTTTCTTGATTCTTATATTTGACACAAATGTCCAACTGAACTGATTAGATTGGTACGGTCAAAGTTCACTGGGACATGCCAAAAAATGTTTATTCATCAATGAAGTGATGACATTTTGGACAGACGTGACGTACGCTGCCTCGTAACTGGCTGACGGAAGGATACAGGTTATTCCAGTTTAGTTTGTTCTTTAGATTCAGCAAAGATGAGCTCATATGTGTAATTGAAACCCAACAAAACACTACTTAAAGATACTACTTAAAGTTAAGGCTTTCTATAATAACAGTGGATAAACCAATTGCACATCGGCTTGCCAGTGCCAAACAACCAAGAGACAAATTTAGCAATTGGTGAGAACTGCGGAACATTTAGGAGCTACAGAGAAAGAAAGGAGATTTCTCTCGGGAGTTGGTCCACAGTAAATCAGGCCGGTTAGTGGAATAAATACTGCACACAAACACAGCTGCGGTGTCGCTTTTCATGGTTCAAAGAATTACTGTATGGTTACGCCATCACCATGGCTGCACGGTAGCCTCGTTAATCCATGTATGGACTTGGCCGAAAAATGTATATTGACTGATTGGTCTGAGTGGAAGCAGCCCAAACACAACGCAGAGGAAAAGTAATGAGGTGTAAAAGGAAAGCATGTATTTTACTGCAACCCAGTGCCAATATGTCTAAATCGCTCCAGTCTTGTCTGCTCCGCATTCCGCATTTCGAGCGCGACCTGTCGACCTTTAATTGAGTCGTGTCACCAAATGAAAAAAAAAGAAAATGACATAACGCATGCGAGATTCATTCAAAATTAGAGCAGCGCTGCCTCCGTTTTTTGATGAAATGTTGACCTTTGAGCAGTAATTGGACGGGGAGGAACGCTGTCTACTCTCGGCGTAATTGGCACGATGTGGAGAAACTTTTCAGAGGCAGCAGGTTTTCTGCCCCGGTCAACCGGCGGCCCGGGTCAGTTAATTCCCCGTATATTAATACTGATAGGGGAGCAGGGGTAATTAAAGAGAGGATGAATCTCTATTCTCTTTTTAATGAAACAGTAAGGCCTTTTGGCTCTCGGGAGTGAGCCGTCTGTTCCATCCAATCCACCAGCTGTGAATGAGATGGGAGCGATACAAATGATAGGAAACGATGACGGGTTATTGCTTTTGTTCTGAGTTGGGATGACGTCGCATTTTGCCGATCAAAGTCCCTGCACTTGAAACGGATCATATTTTTTTTATTTTACACAAATGAGTCACCCCGAGGATCCTCCTCCCTCCCTTTATCCTTATATTCCCACCTCCTTTTCAGCTCAACCCCCACTCTCCCACCTCACTCCATCCTCTGCCCTCCCACAATACATCAGGTAAATAAAATAAGAGCGTGAAATTGTTACATAAGAGCATAAAATAATTTGATATAAAATAGAGTAAGTGGATAAAAAAAATAATTGCCTTTTACTTTGGAGACTCTTTGGCTTGCTTTTCCCAGTAAACACACACACGGTTACATAAAGTCGGCAAAGCCTCCAGATGGACACGAGGTAGGTGCAGATATTTGGCCAGGAGTAGCATAACATGCGTGCAGCAAAAGAACACGCACACACAAACACACAAAGCTGTGTATGTGTCTCTTTATGGCGGTTGGGAGCTTATTCTCATTTTTTATCTCCATACAACGCTGTTTTAATCTTCATTGTCACCTTAACTTCACCTTAATTCAAAAACGTTTATTTACGATCGGGGTGGATATGTATCGCAATTATAAATGAAATTATAGAAGTAATTTGTAAAACTCATGAGAGAGTTAAAGATGAGAAAAAGGAAAGAAATAGGTGTGTAGCTGAGGTCACACAAACACAATATATCCTTTCAGCAGATGATTCATTCTTAACATGATTTTTTAAAATTGTCTATATTTTGCTGTATTCAGAGTTAGACACACAGGGGTCAAGAGCGTGTACCATCCCAAAGTCACGTCCCGGTAGACATATTTATAGATGCCTACTTGGCCCAGCGTCAGTGCCAGGTGGCATCTCAGTAGCAAATGGAGCCGGCCTCCTCCGAACTGGAATGTGCAGAGCGTGCATTATATCATGGCGCCCCTGTGAAACTGTTCCCCCTTTAGCATTTGGTAACACAAATAAACTGCAATATACAGAGGCGGGATTCGGCTGTCAAAACAATAATACTCTCGCCCGCAAACCGGGCGACGCCAGAGGACATGCGGTCGTAAATCTGAGTGGGGGGGGGGTTCACACAGGCGGCACTTTCCACCGGCTGGCTCGGCGCGTTGAGTGTCGATTGTAGCTACTTGGTTTGATCCAAACAGGGCTCTCTATCACAGGTGTTGTATTCAATTAGGTCGAAAAAGGCCTCTCGCCGGCTGAACCGGCATCTCACTGCGGTAGAATATGTCCCTTGCGACTTCTTCCCGAGCGATGGGTGCCGCTCACTGTTTGTACGGGACACCGAGGGCCCGGAGGCTTTTCAGCTGTAACACAACGAGAAAACATCCTGGCTGAAGTTAATTAGATCCCCGGCTGCTCTTTTGATCACGTTTTAAAATGTCCATTCGCTTCTGTCTTTTCAAGCCACGCCCTGAAATCTCCCACCACCCGCCGGTCAGCGTTGAGTGCACGGTCGGCCATTTGTCAGTCTGTGTTCCTCACTCCGAGGCCGAGAGAGAAAATGGGGAGGGTGCCTCCTTCTTCCGTTGTGCATACGTTGTATTGTTTGTGTTAATCTCTCTCTGCCCAGTGGACGCCCAGGGACACGGCTGACCTCCGCCTGCTCCGACAGGAGGGAGGTTGTCCCAGGCATTGATTCCTGTCCCGACACACACGCATACAGGAACACACTCCCTCGCTGTGTGGCGTTGGGGTTTAAGAGTTGGCTTGAGGCATCTTTGTGTCTGAGGGAACAGACTCGCACACATGCTCGTTGTAAGTACAGCTGCTGATGTCTGTGCTTAGTAGCAGCTCTGGAGTTGGCACACATCTGTTCATGCATTGATCCGCCTGCTCTTCGAACAAGCTGTGTGTGTGTGTGTGTGTGTGTGTGTGTGTGTGTGCGTGTGTGTGTGTGTGCGTGTGCGCGAGTGTGCCAGACACACTGTATTTCACACATCTTGTCATCCCGC